AAAGAAAGAAAGAAAGAAAGAAAGAAAGAAAGAAAGAAAGAAAGAAAGAAAGAAAGAAAAAAAAAGGTTCCCATTTTTTGTGTTGGTTGCCATGGTTACGGCCGGACAACACCTGTGCCTTATCGTTAGCTTAGCATAGCTAGCTTGGCTGACGCAGCGTTAATTAAGTTTTGACCTGTTCTTCTGCCGCACATAAAACAAATGAATCACCGAGAGACACCGAGGAAACAGTTCAGAGCTTCAGGTCAGCTCCAGTTGTGTTTGTCTCCTGTCAGTCTGAGCGTTTTGTCGCAGTTACTTGTTTTATTTATTTATTATTATTACATTTTAACCTAAACTATGCTAGGCTACACGAGCATTAAACTTACAATACAAGCAAGGGAGGTGGGGGAAATGCGGATGAGTGAAAGTAAATGTTTTGTGTAAAAGTTTTCAGTCTCTTTTACCTTGTTACTCTCCAAAGAAGCCACTTTCTTGTAAATCCTCTTGTAAATCTTGTCAAGTGGTGCTTTTTCACTCATTCTGTCCACTTGTATACCTGACCATTACAGGTGTGTTCACTGTGTGCCTAACTGGGAAAACTTGACAAGTTGAGGTGAAAAAATAATCCAGTAAAGACCTGCAGAGTTGAGAGATTTATTATCCTTCACTTCATCATCTGTATGTTAGCTTCTGTCTTTGACAATCACTTTGTCCGTCCTAAAACATTATTCTGTTTGTTAAACTGTGCTAACTTTGGCCTTTTTCGTAAGTTCAACTGAAGAAATTGTACAAAAAGATATGTTTACATGATGTTGGTGTTTAATCCCCTGGGATTAATAAAGTATCTGTCCCGTCCGTCCATCACCATGCCTTTAGATTTGGTTTAAAATGTATTTCTTGCTGAATTGTTTTGTCATTTCTTGAATTTAGGGGATGGTTTAAAAGTCAGAGGTAAATTACTTAACAAACAAACGTTCGTCCTAGAATCAGGTGGACTGGTCTGAATAATATCTGCTTATATTTAAGTGGTGGTGCAGAGGTTAGAGAAGGTGGGCCTGTGATCAGAAGGTCGCGGTTTCAACTCCCCCCGTACCGACAACATCAAAAATATGGATGGGAAAGGTGACGCACCCACACCTGCCTCCACCCTCATTTGCCCCACTCTGGGCCCTTGAGCAAACCCCTTATCCCCCACCATCTACTACCCCAGATGCCCTACATGGCAGCTCCCTGCTCCACACAGTGGTCTGTGGTGGACAGGAAGGGCATCCAGTGTAAAAACAATTGCCAAGTCTTTGTACGAGTTAGTTTGCTGTGGAGGCCAATGAAGAAGGGAGCAGCCAAAAGAAGACGAAAACCATTTAATGCATCTGTTGGCATTGGTATTGTGCTGATCAGAGCCTCAAACTGGAGAAACCAAAAAAGAGCCGAACCAGAAACTGGCTCAGCGTCAGAAGCTTTGTTATGTAAGCGCTGCAGCTAATATTTCCAGAATGCCAGTTTTGTCTGTTGCTTTCATTTAGTTGTAACTCCGCCAAATTTCTAACAGAAAGGCTCAGTCGCTCAAGTGAGAGATAGAGGAAAAGAAGAAAAAATGTTTAGAAAATCCAAGGTCTATCAACAGTTTTGTTCTTTTCGTTTTGGCAACACTGAAGTTGTCATTTTCTCTGTTTTCTTCCAGAATCCAAGGAGGTAAAAATGCTGGACCAGTTGTTCAGATTGAGTGATGATTGCTCCAAAATCACCATAACGGATCTCCACTCTCCTCTCCCAGATGACATCAATAAAGTAAAAATTCATTTGTGTCCTGGAGTGTTTATAATTTGAAAAAAATAAATAAATAAATTCAAGAACTTCAACTTGGTAGCATTCATTTGAGGTGTGTAGAATTTTACAACAGTCTAATATTGGACAAAGTATATTGTTTATGCAGCTTTACAAAGCAAAGGATCCAAACGATGGTCAACAAGCACAGCTGGTAGTTCGGTCACGTCAGAAATCACCAGCTGATGGAGTTCGAAAGGCTGCTGAAGTGGAGCTTCCAAAGCAAAACGGTCAACAACCGGACTACGCAGGTTCAGTTTTTTTATTTTAACAATGATCCAGTTGCTGTGGCGTAAATAGATAATTTCTGAGTCACAACATGTATTTTTGTGTCTTTATTTATTGTTCTTTCTTGTAATCTTCTGTAGCATGGCTTCAGTTCGATGAGCATGGCATGATTCGTCCACACAGCATCCTTGGTCATTTGGAGGATTTTCACAGTTATCTGGAGACCAAAGGAGAGAAAAATGTAAATTCAGATTTATTCTAATAGCCCTGCCTTCTGTGGAGAAAAAATACTTAAACTAAATGTGTTTGTAAAATCTGCTTCCCTTTTTAATCAGCTGGTACAGCAAATACCAAAATCTTCAGGTGATCTATCGGAGGCCACGAGGACTCAGCCTAACAACGTGGAGAGACGCTCACAGCAGAGGAACATCCAGAGCAATGCCCTGCAACGCTGGGATAAACATGTGAGACATCGCAGACAGCAGCAGGATGAGTTATCTAGTACGCTAGTCCAAACTTTTGCGTCATGTGTACAGCCTTTATAAATTCTGAAATACTGTAATTTCCAGACTATAGAGTGCACCTGAATATAAGTCGCACACACTAAATAAAAAATAAAATTGTACATACTGTATATAAGTCACGCTTGTGTACAAGCCACGGGTGTTCACGTTGTAAAATGAGTTGTAGCACACTGAGGGAGATGTGCAGCTCTTTTTGTAGATCAAGAATCAACCGCCAGATGGGTACAGTGTTGCCAGGTGAGAAATGTAGGATTATAGTACTAGAGACATAAAATTACCGTATTTTGAGGGAAATGATCGTACACCCGTCATAACCAGAATAACAAATCTATTAATGCACTATAGTAGTGATGGGTCCGGTTCCAGACAGGCTCTGCTTCTTCTTCTTTTCTTTTTTCTTTTCCTCACTCATGGGGCGGGCGCGGCGGACTATTCAGCCAATCATGGCCGTTGTTCTGAGACGAACGCAAACACGTCACTCGTAGGTAACATTTAGAAAAACACGATTGACTGGAATTTTCAGCCAATCGTGCATCTGTTTGCGGACACAGATGCCTTCAGGGTTCACAAAAAAACTCGGACAAACATGCGAGAGGCTGATGACACCCGATTACAACCACATATTCACGGAATGGTCAAATTATCGTACATTTGGCCTTTTTTGGGATTATTGATCGTACAGAGGGCAAAATTGACGTACAATTACGATAATTATCGTACACCTGGCAACACTGGATGGATAGATCCCCACCCGTGAGGGGGGATCCCCAACTCCGTTCTCTCATCCCCTCCCTGTTTCATTGGTTCGTCTGTGACCTGTTCGATAATTTCATCGGTCCGATTTTTTTCTTTTTTAACCTTTATTAATGCAGGTAGTCTCACTGAGTCACGAGGACCCCCCCCCCCCCCCCCCCCAAATAAAAGAGAGTCGTGTATTGGGCAGCTATGTGAGAACCTGCATGTGTTGAAGCTAAATGTTTTTGGTGGCAGGAAGCTCGTTAGCCCATCAAAAAAAAAAATCAATTAATTAGCTGCAGCACTGAATAAGCTGCAAGATTCAAAGCGTGTGAAAATAGTAGCAGCTTATAGACCGGAAATTACAGTACTTTCATATAACTCAAAACCCCCCATACTGTTTGTGCATCAGTGACTTATATGTATTTATTTTATATTAAGACATGCTCGATAGGCCAGTGGGATTCTTACTGATGAACCAAGCCAACCATTTCAGAGAAACTCAAGAGCAAAGGGAAATTGTGAACCGAGTCATGCCGCTCACCCACTCTGGATATGTATGACACATTTTCACTTTCTCAGCTCGGATAGATTAATTTTTTTTAAATGTCTTTGGGCTTTTCACTCCTGTGTCTTCTCTTCTCGAGGGTTACCGTGTGGGCAGTGAGTTTTGGAGTCTCCCGCAGCATTATGGAGATGAGATGAGTGGTATTACAGCCACTCTGACTCAAACCGAGCGAGGCCAAAAAAAACCTGTGACACATGTAGGACAGCCGAGCAGCATACAGAAGGAACTGGGTAAACACACGCCTTACTCATGACACCCTGTTGTTTATATATATATACTGTATATATAATGTTTAAGAATGTGGAGTTTGAGCGAAAATGCAGCAAAGGTGGAAGCCAAAAAAACTGACATGGAGTCTTTCTGTGGACTGATTGTTTTCTCTCTGTGGGACATTTTTCATCCTTTAGGAGTCATTTCTGCCGAGACGCAGCGTCCGGCTTCTCGGACTTGGAGTCGGAGTGCTTACCTTCAACACCAGTGCCAGGAACTTAAAGATGTTCTCCAGGATATGGACATCAAGAAGCCAGTAAGTCCAATTTTACTTAAACTCTAATCTCAAATATTACTGTGACAAAGTGCAGTATTTAAAGCCTTATCGACCAAAATCTTACGCGTTATTTATTCTAATTATTTTTCCTGAAATATCATTATGTCAGAAATTATAAAAATTATTTCTAAGGTGTAGGTCAAAGCTGCTCCACCCAATACTTTATACATGGTTTAGTGTTGAAATATATTTTAAAAATGAGGATTTTTTTTCTTAGATTAAAATTTTTATTTTATTTTTTTCTTTTGAGGTGGTTCTGCAAACACAGAGAGAACAGCAGTTCCAGCATTAATATTACCCTCTGCCATGAAAGGCAGGCAAACATGTTTTGTTTGTATGTTAGGAAAATATCTCATGAGGAACTGGATAAATTATTTTAATGAAACCTTCAGAAAGTTGGCTGTTCATCTGCAACTTAACTCTTTGAGTTAACACATTTTAAGATGGCTGCCATGGCCATGTGAATAAAATACAATGGTTGTATCTCGGTAAATCGTTCAGATTTTTTGCAAAAATTTGGTGTGGTGGTAGTTTAGTTTATAGATTATTGTTTATTTGTCATATGCAGGTCAACAATGCAATGAAATGCTCAAGATGAGAAGAACCGTCTCGACTCACCAATAAAACAAACAAACAAGAAATACCAAAGCTTGCAACAGAAATACAAAACAAAGCACGAAAAGTGAAAAAAAAAAAACAACACCTACAGCAGCATGGCCCTGTTACATTATTCCTATTATACTGGTAACTCTAAATTGTCCTTAGTGAGAGTGAATGGTTGTTTGTCTCGTTATGTGTCCCTGTGATGGACTGGAGCCCTGTCCAGGGTGTCCCCCGCCTCTCGCACAGTGATGGCTGGATGTGGGCACCAGTGACCCCAGCGACCCAAAAAGGAAGAAGCGGGTAAAGATAGTGGATAGTGGATGGATGGATATTATATTTGTATTATACTATTGGTAAAAGAGAGTCATTCCCAACACATAATCCAAGAACTGTACTAGAAATTGTGCAATATCTTGTGATTTTGGGTTTGATCCTACTATAAATTTCCAAATTTGGACAAAAAAGGCAAAAACTCCTCTTTTATGAATCATTTTTCAAGATAAAATGATCATGATTTAAAACTCTGACATGAAAGACAAACTTTCTGATCTAAGCTGTTTTGAAGAGACTTTTCTAAATCGATTTTAAAAATTTGACTGGCATGACTCCATTTGCTGAAGAGGAAACACGACCATCATAACTTTCTGAAAATTGTTTTTTGTCAGCAAAAACTAAATTGTCTCTGAAATGCCTTCAGGGTGGCTGCTGATGTGATGAGGTCTGCAGTGCTGCTGCAAACATCTGCTTGTACAAAATCCATCAGCATAATTACAACTTGTATTCATGTTTTTTAGCTGATTCCCACCTCCAGCAACTTAGAGGCAGAGTACACCCTAGATATGACACCAGTTTATCACAGGGCCACAGAAAACAAATCACAACTTGTGTAATCTGTATTTATCCTCATTTTATCATAAGTGCATGACGATATCTGCATTAATGTTCCAACTTCATAACTGTGTTAAACCTCAATTTCACATGTGGCAATGATTTTTTTTTAGGCCTGTATAAAAATCTAGTTTTGTCTGGTTAAATCTGATCAAGGCTGCGCTGATCATTTTTAAAAATTTTAAACAGAAACAACTTTATTCTTGCAGGGCTCCTTCTGAAGCCGCTCACACCCCTGCAGTTTTTGGTCTCGCCTTCACATTCACCCTGTATCTTCACAAACAGCCAGTGATCGTTCTGTCTTGGGCACTCTGTTCCAGGCTTTCTGTGCAGGGAACAAGCTCCTGTACACGTACAATGCACACAGTACTCACACATTCGTACAAGTACGCATTACCTCGCAGGCTCCCAGGAGCAATCACACACCTACACACATTAAAAAAAAAAAACTGTTCACAAGGTGCTTCAAACACATAATTAAACTGTTTGTTATATTTTATTGCCTGCTAAATGTAATGTACGCAGTTTTAATGAAATTAATTCAGCTGCGTAGCAAACACTGAATAAAGTGCGTCCAGAGCAGTTATAAAATCAGAAGAGATTTGAAGAGATTTGGAGCGTGTGAAAACAAGGAAAAGTACAGAGCCTGCTTTATTTAAATTTTTGTACTCATTTAAATATGTATTTTTTAAACATGGTTCAATCTCTGTTAGCCTGCTTTACTCTGCATGACAATGACTCCATCAGTGGCACGGGGTTCTGGGGTAAACGCTTAAAAGATAAGTGCACCTCGTTGCACTGCCAGTTCCCATTTAATCTTATTAACGCACTAGGTAACAGGTGTTGATGATTGTGAGGGTTATTAAAATTATTATTTTTTATGCTCTCAGCTGGCGTCTTCCTCTCAGCTTCTCTTTTTGTGTTCTCACGCACACTTAATTGTGCCCATGAAACAAGAGAAAATGAGTGCGGCGTGTTCTGTTGTGCAGGTGGCTAATGTGATGTTTTAAGATTTGTGGGTTTGAAGTGCCTTCTGACATACAGAGACACAGACAGACCGTCCTGCCTGCCACTGGCTTCATTTGGGACATACGTGGAAAGAATAGCAGGGATCATAGTGACACAGAAAAGCTATAATGCGAGAGAGAAAAAAAACAGCAAGGAAGATGAGTCATTCGGTGAGGGGGAGAGGGAGGGAAACGTGAGCCCACAGTGTTATGAAAACAGTGAGGAAATATGATATAATATCTTAGCTTTGCATTGATTGTTGTCACTGCCTGTCTTAGAGCCTTCAGAAAACATTCATACAGCTGCACTGGAATATGAACAGACTGTATATTTTTATTTAAGGTGCTGTGACATACCTATTTTATCTGTATGGCTACTGCAGCATACTCCAATCAGTAACAAAATTTTACTTTTGTTACAGTTCTGTTTTACTGAGAAAATCAAACAAATGCTGTCATCTGGATGTTTCTTTTACTTTTTTTGTTCCTCACATGGGAACAAGTACATCAGTGGCTCATACAAAAACTGGTAAAAAATGTTTTAAAGAAGCCAACTAATAGTCG